TATTTGTTGACATCTCTCAAGATCCGATAGCGAGAGGTGGAGTCATGCATCGATCGATGAGAGACGGAGGCGAGCGGGGAGCGGTGAGCGGGCGAACGACGCGCAGCGAGCGAACGCGCGACATATGACACCGCGCCGAAAAAGTTTTTCTGGTGGTAGGAGAATAATATACCATTTTGCATGTCTGCCGAGTCCGGCCTTCAGCTCCTCCGTGCACTTATTGGCTCAGACGTTTTTCTTAATTACGCGAATATAATTACGGATTTTGTAAAATGGTATATAACTTTTCTTCTCAGTTTGACCCAATCTACTATAATCTTTGAAGTGGTCCAAATCGAATCCGACACCCTGTATATTTAAACAAATATTAAAAATTTTTTTCGATACAGTGTATAAGAAGCTGCATAAGTAAATTTTTGGAAATTTTTTGCACAATTTAAGCTGTCTACGAAAAGTTTGAACCGACAAAAGTATTACGAAACTAAACGAATGAGCGTTGACGACAATACTTAAATATAAATATCAACTTATATTCAATAATATTTAACATATTTTATTTGTTTTTCATAATCCTTAAAGTGTTCTTAAAGCCGTAAAATAATTGATTTCATCATTTGAACAAATGTCAAAAATCGATTTTTGTCCACTTTTTCTGGATTTCGCCCACTGTGTGTCGTCGTGAGTGTATGCGCAGACCCGGCCATTTTGCGTTCGTCTTCACGACAGCTGTTTTCCTCGGGTGCCTATTGAGCTTTTTTGGCCTTCGTGTCGAGTTGTTCAGGTGCTCCGCGGTGTCCGGGTGTAATGGCTTGGTTCGTTTTCGTGACATTCGCGTCCCGTCGCGTCGTGCGGAGTTCTCGCGTCTTGTTTTGTGTGTTAATTCTAAGTCACGTGTTTAGTAGTTATACTAGAGACTATAAGTTGTTGTATTGTATTACAAGAGTATTATATTTGGATTTATATTATGTTGTAATTAGTGACAGCCAAGGTAAGACTATTGTCCTGTCACTTGTGCTTTGATTGTTGCAGATAGACGGTATGCGCCTGCCTTTACGAGGCACGCATTGATGTGGTAATAAAGGAGCCGTTCATTTCGATCGCCTGACACTAGTTCAATTTTCTATTTATATTGTTATTTCTGTGTCTCCTTTCTCCCTTTACAGCGGGAACTAGTGAGAGTGTGTTCTCGACACACCGGAGTGCAGTGCGCGTAAATGACGGTTCCAGGTTAGCGCGTCGGGGGTGATCTTCGCGGCGTGTTGCTTACGCGGTGCGTTACTCTGGTGGCGTGTTGCTTTGGCGACGTACGCTTTGTTTTGCCTATATTGTTTTGCGAGTGGCCTTTATCTTTATAGGCCTTTTAAACGTTGACTAATATTAATTTGGCGTTTTTTATATATAAGATGTATATTACTAAGAGGACTTCGCGATGTATTATACCGTGTTATATTGTAGTTGTCATGTGGCCTTTAGTTATTTAAGGCCTTTGCGGTTTTTATTATAAACTTTTGTGGTATAAGTAGCGCCTTAATATGGCGTCTGAATATGATTACATCTCGGAAGAATATGCTCTTTCCGACTCCGAAGAGGAATTTTCTCGTGACTTTGCGGATGACCTTTTATTGGAATACCGTAGGCTTAACTCGAGGGATAGGATCATTGCGTGGAGTCCTGATCCCTCATTGGACTTAACTTCTCCAAGGAAGGAATGGAGGTCTTTGTTAGATGATACTTTCGGGAGCGTCCCGTTTGGCCACGTTAATATTGACCACAGTCCCGATTGACCACGTTAATATCGACCACGTTGTGTATGACCACGTTGCAATTGACCACGATCCTGATTGACCACGGTCCCGATTGACCACGTTGCAATTGACCACGGTCCCGATTGACCACGTTGCAATTGCCCACGGTCCCGATTGACCACGTTGCAATTGCCCACGGTCCCGATTGACCACGTTGCAATTGCCAACGGTCCCGATTAACCACGTTGCAATTGGCCACGGTCCCGATTGACCACGTTGCAATTCCCTACCGGCGGGTGGGTGCGGGGAGCCGAAGGCCCCCCTAGCCCCCCCCGCGCGCGCGCGCGTGTGTGTGTGTGTGTGCTCTTAGCTCGTGGTCCAACGGGACAGTGGTCAATTGCAAC